ACATATATATATATATATATATATATATATATATATATATACATATATATATATATATTATATGAATACACTTGCAAATATTATATATATTTTATATTTTATATATTTTATATTTTAAATTTTTTGTTTCGGTTTTCCCAGGGGGTGGTCTATGAATTGTCTGCGGTGTACAGACAGTTTGTCTTTTAAACACAAAAAATGAAGACAAAAAGGAGCAGAGTTCGCTGCCTGTCTCCTTTGACATCCTGCTGCTAATGCTGCTGCTGCTGCAGCAGCTGCTGCTGCTGCTGTTACTACTGCTGCTGCTGCTGCTGTTGTCTTTCTTTCTCTCTTTTTCTGCTGCTTCTTCTGCTGCAACTAGTGCTGCTGCTGCGTGCCCGTGTACAGCATCATCCGCAACAGCAGCAGCAGCAGCAGCAGCAGCAGCAAGAACAGCAATTAAACTCTAGGGACTCCATATGGATAAGCAGTATAAGGGTAAGCTTGATTATACATATTAGTTGCTTCGGGTGATGAAGGTGAGAACTCGGCATTGACGTAGGGCAGGCGCTGCATTTTGAAGCTTTCGCTCTCCTCCCCTAATCAAACAAACCATAAAAACAAATATATCTTTTATTAATGCTGCTGCTGTTGCTGCTGCTGTTGCTGCTGCTGCTGTTGCTGCTGCTGCTGCTACTGCTGCTACTGCTGTTGCTGCTGCTGCTGCTCCTGCTGTTGCTGTTGCTGCTGTTGTTGTTGCTGCTACTGTTGCTGCTGCTGTTGTTGCTGCTGCAGTAGCAGCAGCGGTTGGTTCAGCAGCAGCAGCAGCAACAACAGCAAAAACTGTAGTGGTAGCAGCAGCAGCAGCAGCAGCAACAGCAAGAGCACCAGTAGCAACACCGGCAGCAGCAGCAGCAGCGACAGTTGCAGCAACAGCAGTAGAAGAAGTGCAGCAGCAGCACTACTAGCAGCACTCCGCCTCCCTCATTCAATCCCCACCCCCCACAAAACCCTAAACCCTAAACCCTAAACCCTAAACCCCGCCCAATCCTAAACCCCGAACCCTAATAAAGCCGAGTAAACCCAAAACCCTAAACCAATCCCGTAAACCCTAAACCCTAAACCCTAAACCCTAAACCCTACTTACAGTTATATCCAATAGCCTGGGGTTTGAAGTTAGGGTTTGGGGTCCACTGGGGCAGCCAAGTAGGTGGGAAGATAGTAATCTCAGGGCCTAACAACGGATCTCTCTGCTGATTTGTTTTTTTTGTTATTACATATTTACAAAGACGCTGAGAATAGCCAGGAAGAGAGCAATGAAAAGGCCGAGGGATTGCTGAAGAACGCACATACAAATTATTTATCAGTATTATAATTAATTATTATTATTATTTTAATATTAATAGTAATTAATTATAATAGTCTTAATAATAATTAATAGTAATAATTAATAATAATAATAATAGTATTAATAATAATAATAATAATAATAATAATAATAATTAATTAATAATAATAATATAATTTATTTTTATTAATGCATTATTATATATTATCATAGACAGTATTCATAATATATCTTTATATTAAAGATTAAGCAAATTTTATTAATTAGTATCAATAATAAATACTAATATATTATTAATTATTTTATAAATAATAGTTAATAATGTTTTATTAATAGCTTATTATTATTAATAATTAATAATTAATTATTAATAATTAATGGTAATGGATGCATATAAATAGCAATTCTTACTAAATGAGAAGTAATAATAATAATAATAATAATAATAATAATAATAATAATAATAATAATAATAATAATAATAATAATAAACAATTAAAAGTAATAATAATTAATGAGAAATAACAAATACTTAACAATAATAAACAATGCAAAATAAACCCTCAACCCTCAACCCTAAACCCTAAACCCTAAACCCTAAGTGAGGGTATAGCTGACTTGATTCATCATAAGGTTGTACTGAGGGGTCAGCCAGGTCCTCTACACCCCACGTGCGAATATCTGCTTGACTCTGAAAGAAGTTTGATGGCAGCAGGAAGGCAGAGCTTTGCTGCCTTAACGACATGAATTGGCTGCTCGTCATGCTGCACACTTTGGCTGGACAATCACCCCTCAAGGACGAGAAACGAGCGCTTAAAGAAGGAGAAGACATTTTGCTTCCTTCTGCTGCTGCTGCTCCTCCTGCTGCTGCTGTTCCTGCTGCTGCTCCTCCTGTTCCTGCTGCTGTTCCTGCTGCTGTTCCTGCTGCACGAGACGGGGTAGAAGAACGAGAAGCGGAAGCCTTTGCAGGAGATGCAACGTCACCTGTAGAAGGTGCTGCAGCAGCTGCAACATCAGCTGCAGCAGCAGGTGAAGCATCAGCAGCTGCTGCTGCTGATGCTGCTGCTGCTGCTGCATCACCAGCAGGTGCAGCAGAGGGGCTGCTGCTCCCTTTGGAGGCACGAGAAGACTTCGATCTAGCCATGGCAGAGAGCAGCACTATCTGAACAAAACAACAAACACAGAGTTAAGCTCTAGAGCAGTAGAAGCAGCAGCAGCAGCAGCAGCAGCAGCAGGAAAGGAGCTTCTGCTGCTGCCGCCGCCGCCTTGGTGAGGCTGAGCCCCCAAGCGTACTGCTAGCCTCGTGTTGCAGCTTCTTTGACGCTCAAAGTGTTTAATTAAAGAATTAAAAGGTCAATAGATTTAAATTAACTTACAGGAAGAGGAGAAGATATCTGGGGTGTATGCACAGTGCTAGCGAGGCGGCGGTGATGCAGCAGCAGCAGCAGCAGTTGAGGCGGCAGCGGCTGCAGCAGCAGCAACAGCTCAATGGAAGGTATAAAGGAGAATAAAAGGAGAAAAACGACAAAATGAAAGGAAAGAAAACTCAAATACAACAAACAAAGGCTACAAAAGATAAACAGGAGGACAAACCCTCAAACCTCGAACCAACTAGCTATACACTTCTGAAACCGGTAGCTGCTGCTGCTGCGCTGCCGCTCTTACGTCTTCATCTTCTCTAATAAATAAAATAAAATAATTTTGTTTTAAAAATCAAATAAATCTCAATATTTACTCTATTTTAAACCCTTATTATCTTCTTTTTCATGCAAATTTACCCACAAAATGTATACAGCAGCCTCTCTTACCAGGGCCCCTCTATGCTGGCTGGCGGCTGCGGCTGCTGCTGCTGCTGTTGAGGAGGCTTGAGGTGTATATACACCTCAAGAAAGCTGTATTATTATATTATATTATCTTTTAAATATTTTCCATAAGAAACAACAATCTTGAGGCCCTCAGCACAAGCACCACTACCCAGTGTTAGCAGCAAAGAGAGCAGCAATTGAGGTGTATGTACACCAGCCTCGGCAGCGGCAGCAGCAGCAGCAGCAGCAGCAGCAGCAGAGGGTTGTTTGTCTTAAAGATGTATCTCACAGCTTTCTTCTTTTGATAACTTAGATTCTTTTAGTATTTCTTTTGTTTGGCATCTTACAGGCCGCTGCTTCTGCGGGTTTATTGCAGTGTATGTACAGCTCAACCGTCTCTTGCTGCTGCTGCTGCTGCTGCTACTACTACTGTTGTTGTTAAGGTGTTTAGCATTGTCTTTTGTTGCTCTGCATGCATGCATGCAAACCCCTAAGATGTTTAATTTAAGTGAAGGCGTAGAGGGTCTGCTGCACAACACTGCAGAGTTTTCGCCTATAGGGCTGCTGCTAAGCGGTTGTCTTTGGGTGTATGTACACCAGAGACTTTCTATAAATATACCTTTCTTCTTCCTCCCTGATAAAGCCTGGAGGGAGCACAAACGAAAAATACTGCTATACAAACAACAACAGCAGCAGCAGCAGCAGCAGCAACAGCAGCAGCAGCAACAACAGCAGCAGCATATACAGTCCAGTGGAGAGACGGTATCAGCAGCAAAGAACAAGCCGAAGCGGCAGGAGCCGCAAGAACTAACAGCAGCAGCAGTTACAGAAGCAGCAGCAGCAGCAACAACAACAACAACAGAAACAGAAACAGAAACAGAAACAGCAGCAGCAGAAACACCAGCAGCAGCAGCAGATCTGACTGCTCGAGAGCTGCGGGTTTATTATATAACAGCCAGAGCCAATGCAACAGCATTTCTGCATGCAGCAATAGTAATTCCTTCAGCAGCAGCAGTTGTTGCAGCAACCCTTCAGAAGGCAAGCACCGAAGTAGCAGCAGCAGCAGCAGCAGCAGGAGCAGCAGCAGATGCAGCAGCAGCAGCACATAGTCCTTTGCATACACTCAAATGGGTGCTGTGGGATTGGGCGGAGACAAACGCCTTCTACAACCACCAGAGCTTCCTCCTAGACATGTTGGGTAAACCCTAAACCCTAAACCCTAAACCCTAATTCTCCTAAACCCTAAACCCTAAATCCCTCAAACCCTAAACCCTAGTCCCTTTCTGAGGTTCTTCTGTTTTCATCCCCTTCTCTCTTTGCCGCATTTGCCTACATTAGGGTTTTATTTTAAATGCCGAGAGGGTGTTGGCGTTCAGGGTTTAGGGTTTAGGGTTTAGGGTTTAGGGTTTAGGGTTTGGGGTGTATGTGCAGCTTACTTGATGGGGGGTTATTTTCTGTGGGATTTGTTTGAATGCCTGAAGAATAAAGATGTACACTCTCGTGCATTTGTAGCGCATGCAGTTTTGTCTCTCTTCGCAATGACTTCTTATCTATTCTATCCACAAGGGAAGATGACAGGTCCTAAACCCTAAACCCTAAACCCTAAACCCTAAACCCTAGGCCGATGTTGTGTGTCTGTCTGTCTCTACATTTTTTTGTCTTTTTTCATTTTCTTTTTTATTTATGACTTTGTCTGTCGTTGCTGTTCTCAGTGTTTTTGCCTCGTTTTATTTCTCTCTCTATCTCTCCTATTTATTTATTTATTTATTTATTTATTTATGTCTCTGTCTCTGTCTCTCTCTCTCTCTCTTATTTATTTATTTATTTATGTCTCTGTCTCTGTCCCTCTCTTTTTATTTATTTCTCTCTCTCTCTTATTTATTTATTTATTTATTTATGTCTCTGTCTCTCTCTCTCTCTGTCTCTGTCTATCTCTCTTATTTATTTATTTATTTATTTATTTATTTATTTATGTCTCTGTCTCTGTCTCTCTCTCTCTCTC